GGCCAAAGGCTGGGGGAAAACATTTGCTCCTTCTCTGTTCAAGTCTTAGCTTTTGAGCATGGCAGTAGGTACTTGTCTGCCAGGGCCACTGGAGGCTTCCCCTTTTGTCTGGCCACACTTTTTTTTTCCTTATGAATATTTGGACCATTGGCTTAGTTCTAGTGAGACCCCCCTTTGAGTGACCTCTGGGTTTGTGGTGAGGACAGCTCTAAGGAGATCCATCCTCCTCTTTATCCTTTTGGTCTGCCTGTCTTTGAGCCTCTGGGTCTTGATCGATGAAAACTGCGGTGGCCACCTTAATCAGCTCACTGGCACCCTTTTCAGTAAAGCCCTGTAGGATTGTGATTTTTGGCAAATGGCTCTCTGAGCCTGTCCCACAAAGGGTGCACTGATCACCTGTTGCTTGTGCCTGTGCATTTCTTCACTGACAAACTTGCGTTGCAGCTGCAATGTTTGTATGGTGCCCCTCCTCCCCCGGGCACCTCTGGGCAGGGAGAGGGGCGGCAGTGGCGGTGGCCTGGACACTCAGCTCTGAGTCAGTTTAGCACATCTCTTTTGATCATTGCTGCCAGTTTCAAAGGGCAGAGGGGCCTTAGGCAGATGTGGAGCCCAGAGAAATGTTCAGGGCTATCAAGGGTGCGAGAGGGAGATGCCAGAGCAGCAGGAGGCTTATCTCAGCTCTGTTTGTCTGCAGATGCACTCGGCCTAGGCTAGGGCTCAAGGCTGCCTCCAATTCCTTCTAACTCTTGAGCAAAGACAGTGTGTTTTATTCTCTCTTTTTTTTTCTTTTCTTTTAGACTTTCTCTGAGGGCCTCTTGACATCTCTGTATCTTTAGACCTTCTTCTTTGTTGGGGCCCATCCTAAGTCTGGTTAATGGGCTGCATCAGATCAGTCATGGCCCAGGGTTTCTCCGTGTAGGAGGGAATATGATTTTTCCAGCTTATGAGCTCAATGGTGGAGAAAGGCTGGCACACAAAACTGCCTTGTCTCCCTCAGGTCAACATGGGTATGTCCTTTAGTCCCTTGCAGGGGCATCTGGAGATTTCTCATCTGAGTTGTGGCTCTGGTCTTAGGACAAATCTCCCACCTTCATCTTTGGAGGTGAAAGCGTCTTTGGTCCTAGGAAGCCTTTGGCTCTGAGGCCATCATAGAGGAAGGAGTAGCCAGTATTGGGGGCAATCATTTGTTGCCTCTGAGGACAAGGGGGCTAGGGGACAGTCTGTTGTCCCAGTGGTCTTGGCAAAGTTGGGTAGAGTGGCACATAAGGTCCTGGGTCCTCTTCTGGCTCACGGGGAAAACTGTTCCCTTTCCTGTCTTTCCTAGTCAGGTTTTCTGTTTAGCTACTTTCCACTGGGTCTTAGAGACCACTATGCTCCTGGCTAATATCTGCTTGGACTGTCCATCTAGACAGGCTCTCAACCAAGGGGGCCGTTTCTGTACTATCTCTTGACAGCAATCAATGTAAGAGAATTGGTTCAGGGGTTCCAACAACAATCAAAAGGAGCTCCGCAATGACTCTCTCATCTAACGATCCTTCTGGTGGCCTGCCCACATCTTGGGTGGGCCACTCTAATTCACAGAGTATGCAACCTTTGTGGAGTGAGTCTCACCCACAGTTAGCAGGAAAACCTTCCTAAAGGTTTCTAACACACATTTCAGAAGGCTCGGTTTCCTTAGTGTGCCTCCCATGTTCCACCCTGCATCGGTGTCGCACACTGAGAACAAAACACTCTTAGGACAAGACTCGCTTCGTCCATCTCCGGCCATTCCCCTCGCGGGGACTTAGGGCCCTCTTAGCCTTGCGGGTCAGTATCAACCCCCGACCTGGAGCTTTCACCTAGACGTTGGTTGGTGAAATGCCGCCATAGACTGTATGAGGTGCCACGGAACCGCGGATCAGGACTCTGCACTCGCTTCGGCCCTTGGTTGGGTCGGAACCCTTCCCTTTGTCCATCTCATTCTCACACTTTCCCATAGACATGGCCAGGACAGAATTTCTATACCGCCTAAATTCCAACAATTCCAAACCAAACAGAAAAGGGAGTTGCCCCTCTGCTCGCTGACCCCGAACAGAGACTACTCGGGTGACTCCCCTGGTCCGTTTTAGCTCCAACCACTTTGGAGGGTACTTGGGACCCAACAGATGTTGATCAAGCCTCTCCTCCACCCACTTAGGCCTCGAAGGGGAAGTCAGGTGGGCTACAAAACCAAATGGACCCGGGTCCTACCTGTTCAGATGGGCGGTGCTCCAAAACCCTAATTCTGGTTCCTGTTGCCTGTGGGTGCTCCGGGGTGGCAGCCCCAGGACGCTGGGTGAGTGGATCCTCCTTCAGGCCAAGAGTGGCCTGCGCGCACCAAGGGGATCACTGTCCCCCATCGCCCCAGGGAAGCTGGTCCCTGGAGACAAGAGAGGCAGAATAGCCTTCCTTACCTCCTCGGTCCCATCTGGGTCGCCAAAAATGTTGTAGGGACAAACGAGGCAAGGCACCAAAGCAGGAAACAGTTTTATTTGGCTGTAGCCAGGTTCAGAGGGCACAGCTTTTGCTGAAATCAATTAATCCTCTGAACCCTGAGTTCAGGTAGTTTCAGAGTTTTATACCCAGCATGTAAAGGGAGGGGCTCAGAAGTTCACGGTCTGCAGAAGTTCATATAAAAGCAATTTTTTTCTTTCACTAAGTTTTGGGCAAGTTAACCCTTTAAGGACAACACCTGAGAAGGGGAGAGATTCTTCTCCCCTTTCTTTCCTCCCCCTGCCAGCTGTTACCATGGAGTCCAGTTGGTAACTTCTCTTAAAAATGTAGACATCTCTGTGAAGCCCCAGCTCAAGGCCCGAGGCCTTGTTTGCACATTTCTACAAACTACTATACTCGATACGTTTGTGAAAAACTAGTAAGGGGGTGTCCAGCACCTGGAGTGCTGGTATCTTCTTGGCCAGTGGCCAAGTAAAACAGGGCGACACGAAAATAGGAAGTTTATCTATAGTGGACTCTTTTGCAGAGACTCTTTTGCTGACAGTTCTAAAATCTGGGTGAAGATTTCTGGAGAGGCCCAGTTAAGTCTTTTCTGTGGAGAAGGGGGTGCCACTACAATGAGACTGTTTGTGTTATGAATTAACTCAGCTTATGAGTTAATTCATAATGTTAATTCATAATGAAACCCAGGGTTTCATTACTTTTCTGTGCAAAACACATGGAAATGTCAAGATCTGGACGTTCCCCAGGCTCCGTGGTGTAGGGCAGGCCCACTCTGGCATGAGTGGACCCTGAGGGGGGTTCCTCATGAGTCCTGGAGGCTGGAGTCCTCACAGAAACAGAATAAAGGCCTAGGGAGCACCTCTGGGTCCCCTTCTGGTTACGTGCTTGGCCAAGTCCTGCGACTTCTTTAGACCTCTGTTTCCTTATCTGCACATTTACATAATGGCTGAACAAACCTCATGGAGTGTGGTGGGGAATGTTCAAGAACCGCCCCTGTGAGCCCTCTTGAACGTCGGCCCCACTCCAGTTCCCACTTTAGGGCTTGGCACGAGTACTATTTGACAGAGATTTGCCTGGGCCATGGGCCATGGGCCAGGCTGTTTTGCCTGGTACCCACCTATCTTGTTTTGTTAGGGATTATTCATGAATGCCTACCTGGTCCTGAGGAGGAAGGGGTGTTCTGGAGGTGCAGCCCAGGGCTGGGTCAGAATGGTCTGCTGGTAATGCTAATGAGAAGAGAAATGGCTGATCACCTGTGTGTTCCCACGCAGATCCACCCACTGGAGGAATTTCACCCAGTGGGACTCAGGATCCTGGGCAGGCTTTGGTTCCAAATTTGGGGTCTGGCTTCCCTAACTAGCTGCCCTGAAAACCCAAGGGCAAACTCCGAGTTAATAAGACGCCAGCGGAGGCCCTCCTTCCCTTTGGAAAGCGGCTGTCACCCCACGTGCTCGCCAGTAATGGCCACCCCTCATCAAATATTTATCCCAGCACTCATGGTCTCCTCAGCCCCCAGCGTCTTTCCAGGGACAGAATCTGATTATTAAACTGGTCATGAGCGAAGCAGGCAGACTACAAAGTGCCTGGAACGGAGGGGCGCATCAAAGTCCCACATCCTTCCTTAAAGGTCGCCTTCCAGAAGCTGAGGCCTCCTGCTGGGGACAGAACTGCAAGGAGCTGGCGGGCTGGCCTGCGTGTGCCTCCCAGAACCCAGCAGCTCTCTCTCCTTGTCCCCTCTCCCGGTGGGGCAGAAGGTCGCTAGGCCCAAGCCCCAGGGCCAAGGGCCCGACTCTAAGCCTTGGGTTTATGAAAAGCAAATGGTACCTTGCCCAGCTCAGAGACGACTCCTTTCTCTTTGAAGGGCAGCCCTGGCATTTCACCAGTGCCCTCTTTGAAGCTTGACCTTTGCAAAACAGAAAGAAAGGAAGAAGGAACGGAAGTTGATTCAGAAGCCTTCCTGCGCAGACATCCTTTGCAGATACCCCGGGTTTGGTTCCAGGCCACTGTAGCACAGTGGATACTGCCATCACCTGAGTTATATGGATTTTTGGGTTTCCTAGTGCATATAAAATTCATGTTTACATTATTTTATTGTCTACCAGGCATCAGGTTTTAAAACTATGTACCTGCCTTAATTAAAAATACTTTATTGATAAAAAATACTAATAATCATTTGAACCCTTGGAAAAATGGCGCTGATAGACTTGCTCAGCACAGGGTTGTCACCAACCTTCAATTTGTAAAAACGCAGCACTATAAGTTTCAATAAAACAAAGCACAATAAAACGAGGTATGCCTGTATTATGCCCAGAGCTTCTGAAGTCCCGCTGCGTGGCTTCACTCATTACGTGGGTGAAGAGCCTGTCAGGAAAGAAATCATGCCTGGTGCTTAATGGAACCCAGGGACCAATTAACCACACGGAGAGCCAGTGGGCTAAGCATTTCTCAAAGAAACAGGAGGGAACTTTTTAGTGCTGCCGTTTCCCCCTTCCCCCCAAATAAAAGACAAATGCTATGCCAACGCCTTCAAGAGCGATCCTTTATTTCAAGTCCTCAAACTGACCATTTACCAAGAGATGACTGACGTTCCAGGTCACAAACAATAGGTTTTCCTCTTTCAGCAAATCCTGGAGCCCTGAGAGGGCCACAGGCGGGGAGAGGAGGTGACATCAAAACCGACCCTCCACGCCCAGAAGCTGCACTGCGGCCTCCTGCACAGCCTGATGGACGTGTGTGACCTCTCTCTGGGACAGTGTCCGTTCCATGTGGCGATAGGTGATGCGGTAACAGTGGCTGGTCCTGTTGGTCCTACAGAGGGAAGAGAATGCAGATGGGTGAGTGACATGTGTCTGTGACTGCAGGAGCTGTGTTGCCTGCTAGGACCAGACCTCCCCAACTGCAGTGGGGACCTGAGCCCAGGCTCCAGGTACCACCCACATCTCATTAGGGAAATATCACTTCTCACTAATGACCTGCATCTTTTAAATGCTTTGGGATGAGGCTGATGGTTAGGGAGATATTAGCTAGAATAATCAAGACTGCTGGTTCCTGTTGGACCAGATGCATAAGAGTCCCCTGGGAAGGAAGCTTTTGACAGATTTGATTTCCCGAGCTAAGCCCTAGAGAGTCTGATTCGGCAGCCAGGAGGGGGGACCTGCGTTTTTGGGCTTTTCCCAGGCTCCCCAGGTAATTCTGACAAGCAGCCAGGATTAGAAGTCAGAGCCAGCATGCCCCCACCTTTTCCACAGCATAGGGGATAGCCATGTTTTCAAGGTACACTGCAATAATGGTGAGGCCAGAGATAGGCTGAGGGGTGTCTCAGCACCTCCCTAGGCCAAAGACGATCATTCTAGATAGACCATGCATGTCACTTTTGTGCCATGTAGACAATGACCTTGGCCTCCTGCTTCAGTATGGTGAGCTGACTTGACCTTCGTGGGCGACTGGGTGATTCTGGAATGCGTGAAAGCCACATCAGTGGGGCCTGCTATTTGCACGACAGTTGTGGAGACACACCATGGTTCGCCTCATCAAAAAGACCATGAAGCCAAGGCTGGCTGGCCTGATTTCTCCTCGAGCTGTCTCTCACTGGCTGTGGGCCAGCGGTCTGCAACCTTCCCTCTCTGGGCATCTACATTTCTCTCCTGTACATTGTGACTTCAGAGTCACAGGAATTCCTCTTTCCTAGTCCCTGCTGTAGCACGGTCCACTGCAGGCCTTCTGCCTCTCTGGTAATGAGACTGAAGTAAACCAAGTGGACCCCAGGCAGATGCCCTGGGGTGACACCGTCCAGTTCTGAGCCTGACCAGGAAGGGGCCACATGTTCTCTGGGTGGGCTTTCACTTATGCCAGAGCCTTGAGCAGCAGGCTTCTGTGGGCTGGCCACCCTTCACCCCCACAGGAAGACCTGGCAGTCTCCATCTTCGCCACCTGAGCACAGAGCCTTTGCCGCTGAGGGCCTCGTGACGCTTCCAGACTGTTCTCACTCCCGTTCACATCCCTCCCTGTTTTAACGCCAGACTCCTGGTGCCTTGGTCCTGACCTCTCCCCCTCCTCTTGCAGCATCTCCTGCCTCTGTCCCCTACCTGGGCTTGGTCATCTTGCTCTTTCTTCCTCCCACATACAGCCCCTTCCAGGAAGGATGACCTCCCAAGATGTAGGGGCCGGGTCTTTCTGAGATCCCTGCATTTCAGCCAGACACAGAGCCCCTGTTTGCAAGGAGCCACAGGAAGAAGTCACCTGAGATGCTGTCAGAACCCAGCTGTGGGGGAGCGCCAGAGAGCACAGTCCACCGTCAGCCGGCTCAGCTGCCTGCTCCCCAGGAAGGAGAAAGGAACCTCGTCCCACTTGCCTCTCTGTTCCAGCACAGCTCAGCCATGAGCAGGAGACTCAGGTGGACCATGAAAACCACGGACTCAAGGAGCCAACGGTGCCGGCGGCTCAGGCAAGCAGAAGGAGGGGTGCCCTCAGCGCCCAGCCTCCAGTGCCTGAGCAGGATCTTTTGGTTCTTCCAGACCCACAAGGCAGCATGTTTGAGCCTGAATGCTTCTCACTCTTTCACCTGCCCTGACTCCTACTCTCCCACAACAGTGACCACAGCAGAAAAAACTGCTTACTTACCGGGCACTACCATAAGCCCTTTGCCCTTGACCCTTCAGTTAAACACCACCACCCTCCAGATAAACAGCATTATTCTCTGTGGTACAGCTGAGGCACAGAGATGAAAGTAACTGGTCCAAGCACACACAGCTAGTAAGTGGCAGGGCTGGGTGCAATGCCAGGCAATCGGGTGGCATGTAAAACAGCACAAACTGCTGTGGGAAACTGTTTGGTGGGTCATCAAAAAGAATTATCACGTGGAATTCTCATGTGGCCCAGTCACACCCAGGTAATTATACCCTAAAGAATTGAAAGCCGTTGTCTTAAACAAAAACTTGTAGAAGAATTTTCACAGCAGCTCTGTCTACAATCACCCAAAGGTGGAAGTGTTCATTAAGAGATGAATATGGGCTGAGGTTGTGGCTCAGTGGAAGAGCACTTGCCTAGCATGTGTGAGACCCTAGGTTCGATCTTCAGCACCAAATAATAATAAGTAAAGGTACTGTGTTCATCTACAACTAAATAATATTTAAAAAAGAGATGAATATATATAAACAAAATATGGTATATCCATACAAAGCAATATTATTTGGCCATAAAAAGGAGTAAAATACTGATATAGGGAAGGAAACTAGATATGTGCGTGAAGTTCAAAAACATGTCAAGACATAATATACCTCATATTGCATGATTCCATTTATATGACGTGTCTAGACTAGGGAAAGCTACAGAGACAGAAAGCAGATTGGTGGCTGACAGGACCTGGGAGGAGGGGAAAATCGGGAGCAGCTGCTTACTGGGTACAAGGCTTTCTTTTGGAGTGATGAAACTGTTTGGAACTGAGAGATGTAATGGTCATGCAATTTGTAAATGTGCTAAATGGCACTGAATTACACTCTTTCAAAATGGCTAATTTTATGTTATGTGAATTTTGTCTCAATATAATAAAAGCAGAAACCAAAATTGATTTCAGAGCCCAGCTATTAACCATCACAGCTACAAACACCTCTCTTTTCTTTCACACCTTGGATCTCTTCCTTATAGCTCAGTGTTCTAGTTTGGATCCTAAATGCTCCCCAAAGACTCAGGTGTTAAAGCTCTGTCCTTCTCCCATGGTGCTCGTGGGAGGTGGTCTAGCAGGAGGTCTTAGGTCCCTGTGGGCATGACATTGAAGGGGATAATAGGAACCAGCCCCTTCTTCTTTGTCTCTTTTACATGCAGCCATCAGGTAAATGAAACCCCTCTGCCTTCATGCCCCCCATGATGTGCTGCCACAGGCCCAAAGCAACTAAAGCAAATTGGTTACAGAGTAAAACCTCCAAAACTATAATAAACCTTTCAACTTTTTATGTTGATTTACCTCAGACATTTCTTACAGTAATGAAAATCTGACTAACACACCAAGTTGTTCTAAGTAGTAACAAGGTTTGCAAACTGCTGGAAAGGCTAACTTTTTGGAATCACTCATGAAAGAGATGGATGAACTCCATGTTCTTTTTGGCTCAGCCTTTCAACTAACAGCGAAGACATTGGTGAGATGAAGACGACTGGGATGTGCTTGGAGTGGGACACACAGGGAGCAGGGATGCTTTAATAAAGGTCTTTCCTGCCTTTAGGGTCATTGAAAGGTGCACTGGGAAACCTGGATGTTGACTGGGAAAATAAGAGGGCTGAGAGGGTAAGAAAACAAGGCTATAGCCCTAGAGACTGGGGTAGTGCAGTGCAGGCCCTGCACCTCAGGGCTGGGAAACACGCAGCTGCTGTAGTCTGCCTGCCAGACTCCAAGGGGCCCAAAGCTCCAAGATGAGAAACTCCCTGGAGGAGAATACCTGGAGTTTTACAGGTAAATAAATATTCTCTTTTATGTGCATCGCTGCTTCTACTCTTGGGAAAAATTAGTAAGATTTCCCATTACTAAGTTTGGGAGGTCAAATTCCATTATAATAAGATTGATGAGAGATTCTTAAATTTTTTTTGTGTGCTAGAATTTCATTGCATTGGGATATTGGCTAAAATGAGTTGGTTGCTGGCTAGAGCTTGAATTTTTTATAGGGATTTTGGTGTAAGAGTCTTAGGAGTGTCTGAGCTTCAGAGGGCTTCGACTATTACTAGTTCATTCAGGGATTCCTTTAGCCATTCAACAAACAAGAGGTTCCAGGCACTGAGCTGGAAAGAGGTAAGCACGTGAGGGGAATCCAGTATCTGCTCTCGACCAACTCATGTCTGGAGGCCCAGAGGCCCAGAGGCCCAGAGGCCAGGGGAGGGTGGACAGTGAGAGGGGCCTTCCAGGTGCTTGGCTGTGCAGTCAGCCATGCCCCCCTCCACAGACAGCCTCAAGCACTCTGAGATTCATCTTCGGCAGATGAGTTTTCCCTCTCATGGCACTTCCCATGGGCATTGGAATGCCGCTGTTTGTTTAGTACAGTGGGGAGCATTCAGGACCTGCAAGGAGAGTTTTGACCTCCCTGTGTGTTCAGGGATTTCTGCTAGTGAGGAGAACACAGGACCCAGAGCCACGTGTACCTCCCTTGGGGGCTTCTCAGTGAGCCCTGGTGCACTGCTGGGCCATGCCCTCACCTCTTCCACCTCCTCTGGCCTCCCATCAGCCCCCACTTCTGAGAGGCGCAGCCTGGCTCATGAGACAGAAACACGATTCAAACCTTTTCTGGAACTCTCTCTTGGATCCTGTTCCCTACTCTAAGGTGACCGCCAAGGTCCACCCAGCTCCGCCACTCTGTGCAAGTCCAGCTTCTCACGCAGAAACTTAGGAGTCAGGGCTGCAGGGAGCCTCAAGCGGGCAACTGAGGAGCTGTCGGAGGGTGGCACAAAGCAGCAGGGGAGGATTCTGTGTTTTGCTGTCTTCTCCTCCCTGGCACTAACTTTAGACTAAAGACAAGGATGTGTAGGTGCTGAGAACAGTCAAGTCTGGATCAGTAAAGGTCTGTCAATATTATCAATGTTTTAAATGGATCCAGTCATCCTACTGGGTATATATCTAAAAGAAATGAATCAGTATGTAGAATAGATCTGCACGCCCACATGCATGCAGCCAAGGCAGGGGGAAATCAATTTAAGGGCCCATCAATGGAAGAATGGTTAAAAAAAAATTAGGTGTTTATACATGGGTATAAACACACACACACACACACACACACACACACACAGAGGAATACTATTTGGTCTTAAAAAAGATGAAATCCTGTCATTTG